TGAAGAAGATCAACCTAAAGTTCCTTTCTAGAATCCATTTGATTAGATCCATAGATTGAAGAAATAACACACTCAAATCTTCCATCATTTGATTTTACAGATCATGTTAAATGTTGAGCAAAAAAACCTATGACATTAATGTCCAACATGCCTGGATCCAATAGGACCAAAATTCTAGCATTTTCTGAATTTCTCACATTTGAAATCCATTTCCAGTTTGCAGCAATTTTCTTTACAATCTCTGGCAATCTTGTATCTTTTATTTTAGTTTCCAAGAGGGCCAAAAGAGAGAGATGATATTGCTTTACATGTTGCATCACCAGATGTTGTTTAGGGGATTTATTCAACCCCCTCACATTCCAAAAAGATAAATTCATCAATATGTTCCCCCTCTATCAATTGTAAAGGGATCAATTCCACACACCCTAGCAGACAATGAAGAGAAAGGGTTATCAGAGAAGGAGCTCCTTTTCATATTACTTCTTTGCACTTGCAGCCCTAAGTTTCCAGGTATATTTAAAAACTTATTATTAGCTTTTACAGGATGTGCAACAAACCCAGAAATAGCATGAACTGAGCTCAGAACAGCTTGTGCACCATGCACAGAACAATGTTCAACAGACACAAAATCTATTTTAGCTTGTGTAACCACACCTTCTTTTTCCAAAATCTCAGAACTCTATCCAATCACACTGGAGTGCTTATCCAAATTTTGTAAACCAATATCTTCTTCAAGTCTACTAATGTTTCCAGACACCAAATCATAAGCAACATGGTCAGCAGGATCTCTGTCACCATTAGCTGAGACCATTTTTTGTTTAGGTATCCATCTCTGCATAGGTTGTCTCCTATAATTTTTTGTGTCATGGCCTAATATTTTACATTAATCACACCACTTTGGCCTCAACTCATAAATCACCTTCTGAGTGAATTTCTTTCCATCAGGCCTTTGAATTGATATATGATCAGGAAGAGAGGAGGGCATTTTTACTTCAACTAGTATCCTTGCGTAAGCCAATCTTTGCCTACTAGCTGTGAGTTTATCAGTAGATATAGGACGGCCAATTGCACTAGCTATTTTACTTATACTCTTAGAATTCCATAGGTTGAGCTTAAGTGTTGGTAGTTGAATCCAAACAGGGTAAATGCATTCATTTACCTTTTCAATGTCCTCACCAATAGACTAGAGTTTTAATAAAAGTGGTCTAGAACCAAAGAACCACGGACCAATCGCAAGAACATTATTCATATTGTCAGCATTCCTGAATTTGAAAAGAAATACACCTACCTTGAGAAGACAGATTTCAGGAATTGCCAGGTTTGCCCAAACTATCTTAACAAAATTTTTCATTGCTTTAAACTTAACACTTAGACTAGGAACTTGTCCCACAAGAGAAAATTTCTAGATAGAAGCGCCCTCATTCCATTCATTTCATTAAAACTCACAGTGCCATCATCAACTGTACAGGGAGGGTAGCTGAGATCCATACCACTACCAACTTTTCTATTATCAGCAAATAAACTCATCCAACTTTTCTTAGTATTCTTTTCTTGAACTGACTCTACCTTAGAATTAGAGTTGGCAAGAGATTCTAGCATTTTCCAAATTATCAGCTAAAATCAATGGAACAAAAACATTTTTTGAAATCGATCCAGAATTCAAAGGAACAGTAGTATTAGATGTTTTCAAATCAAGATTTTTGATGATTTTAGAACTGATTGCTGAGGAAAAGAAAAAATTTTCAGATCAAAATCATCAGCCCAAGATTTCCTCATAGAGCTACTATCTTCATTAGTTGACTTAGGTGACGGATCTGAGCACCAATCATCTGAGCTTCATCACTACGGATCATAGAATTAAGAATCTTCACCATTAATTTCTTCTTCTTCTCACCCTTGGGGCCAGTTGAACCCATCACATCCGGGCTGAGAATTTCATCATCTTCAATGATTCCATCATCAAATTGATCAGCAGAAGGAAAGAGACTTGAATTTGATACCCTTAGATCAAGATCAATGATCTTCTTCCCACTATTTCTCTTTTTTCGTCATTTTTTTCTCAGCGGAGGCGTAGATTAGCAGAGCATAGATCACTCGCTAAAGAACGCCATAAAGAGCCCGTCACTAAAATTACGGACCTCGGTGTCATCTTCGTTTTTCTCTACTAATTTGTCTTTTATTCTAACTTCTTGATTTTACACTCTCAAGAATAGTAACCAAGCTATCCACCATGGGTAATGCAGGCGGTTTGGAAAGGCAGCGGTAATACTATTACCTTGTATTAGAAAAATAAAAGAATAATGGCCAAAGCTTATTACCAGACCAGCATTCAACTTAAGACTTCTCATTTCTTCTCTCGTTGCATCTTTCATAGTTGCTTTTACCCTTGCTCTTCTATGACCTCTGAGAAAATTTTGGTTTCTATTTTTAGTTTTGAATATTCTTTGTCTCTTCTTCTTTCTTGTCCAAGACTATGTCTGAGACATCGACCTCTTAAGGAAGCATATAATTGGACATTAAAATTATCTTTATTTTTAATACATGTTTTGCTCTATCTTGCCACTGTTCATCCTCTCTTTATAGGCTCTCAACGACCCATTTAATTCATGAAAAGACATGTGAATCAAACTCAATCTTTAGAGCTTGAAGTTGAACTTTTTTTACTTCCCAACTCCTATGATAGAGTTGCAAAGCATCTTTCATGCTTGTTTTAATGTGGTGTCAATGGCAATCTTCGAGATACAGCAACTGCATAACTTCCTTTCTCATTGCTCAGTTTCCATAGTTTTGTTTGGTAAGTAATTGTTGTTATTGGAAAGAGATAACATGCACCCTTTGATGCCATATTAGCAATTACCTTTGATACCATTTTGTATGAAGGTGATGAGCACTTTCACAAACTCATACAAACAAGAGAAGAGAGAAGAGGAAGTCGCTAAAATAATTTTTCTTCTATTCAATTGACTTTACTAAACTTGTTGTAATACGTAAGTACCTATACAACTCAGGATAACTCTACTATTGTGACATTAAATATAAAATCTGAAAATGCATTCATGTGTGTAGATTTTTGGGTAAAAGCTCCAAACTTTATCTTTTCTCCAATGAAAAGTTAATAATTAGAGTGTGAGTTTTCGGTCAAGATTTTATGGTTTAGCTTGAGTCATCAAGTACATATCTGTATCATACAATTCGAAGCAAATTTATACAAAGTCACAACTCTCTCAATATTCAGAGAAAGATCAAGATCTAGACCATAATCATTATAAAAGAAAACTGCCCAAGATTTTATAAACAAATTTACCATTTTTCTCTGTGATAGTGAAATATGTGCCTAGGTAGTTGGAATCTGATTCGCACTCAACAAGGTGTCTCTCTCAATCTAGTCTATTTCCTTCCCACTCCACTCTAGCCTCCCTCTTTACAATTAATGTCTAAACTGATGGCTGTAGACTTTTCATTCACATTCCACTACCGTACTACCAAAGGACTAAGGGTCCATTATGGTAGATTCTTCTTTAACTTGGTCCACAAAAAAAAAAGGATATGCACAAACAAAAACTTGGCATCCAAGTAATCTGCACCTATAACTGATTTCTGACTCTAGAAACAGTTAGATATCTTCATGAATCATATATATAATATCCTTTCTTTGTAGATAAAAAATAATATTTTGATATACTGCTGGCTGATGCACTTACCTTTTAGTTTCTTTACCTAATTTATGCACTAGAACCTCTTGCATGCCTTGTTCTCCACTAAAAGATACATTCTAAGAAAGTACATGTAGTACAAAGGAGGACACAGAACCAAAACACTATCTTTATATGAGAAAGTATGTATCACATGACATGATATCCACTAAATGCAGTTATGATGGATGGTAGACTCTTGAATCTGTTGGGATTTAGCTGTGTATTTTATCCAAAAAGTCAACAAGATGCAGTAGATCGTAGAGCAGGAGATAGAGGAACTGATGTTGAACCAACGGTCAACCGGCCAGGAGTTCTGGCAGTCAACGACCAGGAGTTCTGGTCTAGGATTAGGCATAGCTAAAAGAAGGACAAATTTTGAAAAACAACACATTTCCAAACTTATTCATCAAAAACTACCTATTTGAAACTTATTTGCCAAAAACGACCCAGTTTCAGCCAACTAGGTTGTTTTTTGTGAAAAAAAATACCAAACTTCATGGAACTTCTAGTGCCGTGAAGTTTTTTACATAATAAAACTTCACGGGACTTGAAGTCCCATGAAGTTTGGTATTTTTTCGCCAAAAACGACCCGGTTTCAGCCAACTTTCAGTCATTGCCTGAAACTGGGTTGTTTTTGGCAAATAATTTTCAAAAAGGTTGTTTTTTACAATTATTTTTGGAAATGGGTTGCTTTTCAAAATTTGTCCCCAAAAGAAATGCTGCAAATTGTATAGAGTTGCAGTGAACAAAGGAAAGGGAGAACATCCTATCGTTTATGAGGAACTCTTGAGAAACTGAGATGAGGATTTCTTGTGATGGTTGAAGAATTCAAGAGGGACCATATCTTTCTAATCTCTTGAAATAAAATAGACTCAAATATTTGTCTGTAGACGATGGCAATTGTCAAACAACGTAATCCTCGACTTTGAATCTGATTTACAATATTTCTGTGATATTAATTTCTATGGTTTCTATGTTTCGATGTTGCTTTTCTTGTGTGTTTCCCTCTTGCAAAGGTGATCATTTTGCTCCCTCATTGATGGAGTAGATCTAATTGAGAGATCCGAGCACATTTTAGCACCAGTTTCAGTAGAATCAATGCAAAATAATAAGATTTACCAATGATCCTTCCTTTTTTGGCTTAAATTCAGTAATAGAAAGGATACCTTACAAATATATACTATATACACGTGGTGAAGTTGAAACTAATCTTCTAAGGATTTTTGGAATGTGAGATGTTTTCTAGGTTTGGGACTGTAAATTCTGATATCATATCAAGATTGAAAGATTTCTCTTTTTATTGATTCATGGTATTGGACAAATATATACTATATACACATCATTGGTTGTATAAAGAAAAATACTATCTTTAACAAAGTTCTTTGACTGGCTCCACAGTGACAACCTCAGTCTTCTCTGGTTTCTCATCATTTGCATTCTTGAAACTTGCTGCAGTCGCCAGCTTATCAACTGCATCGACTACCCCCTCAACCCTTTTCGCTATTTCGATCAGGAGTGATGCAGCGGCGATGAGAGGGAGCACTTCCCTTAGCGACATATCATCTGTCTGTAGCTCTGTTAGGCGATCGTGAAGCTCTTGCACTCCATTATTCATTTCTTCGACTAAGAAATCTATGCTGCCAGACCTCTGCATAGACTTGATGGAATTTGATGAGTCCTTCAAGACTTTTGAGCAGTCTGAGCTCAATTGGATGCAGATGTCACTTAGTTGCTTCTTTGTGAACTCAGGAGTCTGTTAAATGAAATAATTAAATTTCAAGTTAACATTGCATATTTATAGTCTAAGCAGAAAGCCAAAAGATGTTTGTCTTTGAACGTACAGTTTTAAGAATTATGTTAGCTTAGCATATGTTATTATAAGTTCAAAGTCTAATAAACTATAAGTTTTTCAACAAAAAGCAAGATCGGATGCATGCTAGACAATCTCTTTTGATCGAGAGATCTTGAATGCAAAATTCTTCTCTAGATCTATTCCTTGTTATGAAAATTTGAGGGTTCCCATAATTTATATTAAACTAATTAGATGATAGAGTGATAAAATCATTTTACATAATCAAAAGTTTAAATTATTAGATTAAAAACTAACAAATATATTAAACAAATATATTAAACTAACAAAATTCTGATCACAGTCATATCATAATGCTTAGGATTTACCGGGATTTCTGAGTTTATACACCCGTTAAGAGCTTCGACACAGTACGCACAGTAACGCATAGCTGTGCCTATATTTTGGTATTGGCTCCATGGATGCCGGAAACTGAAGCGGCCGTGAGGAGGCTCCCATTTTGATAAATTAGCCTGTGGAACACATAATTTAAAGCAATGAATAAATAACTTGGATTAATTTTACTAGTTAATTCTTGTATACTGCAAGCTAACAGTTAGGTACCAGAGAATCCTCAGATGCTTTTGCATTAAGAACACATTTGTATGCTTGTGATTTCTTCGATGGAGCTTCCTCCTTTTCACTAGTTTGATCATTAGAGAAGTAATCATCCACAGAGCCTGTGGTATATATTCATCAAAAGAGTTATAATTAGTTGACACCATGGAACTTTAAATATTAGTTTAAAATTATTTCATCAATCAATAAAATTAAAGGAAAATACTGAGTTAAAGTATTCGCAGAGAAAATGCGCATACAAATCAAGAATCATTTAATTAAGAGGGAGAAATACAGACGATTTTGTTCCTCCCCGCTAAAACTAGACGGTGCAAAGATAACTCAGTCATGTTCATCCATCATACAATGAACGTTTCATGACTCTTCTGAGTTTGAAAATTCAAAATAGTGCAACGCACAAGGGACCATAACATTAGTTATATTAAGAATAATCACAACCATCAAAAAATAATAATATGGATTGTTATTGAGAAAGTGATTTCTATGCCGTCAGAGGGGCAGTTGATCGAGTATCTAAATCCAATTATCTGAAAGATCGAGATTATTAACTGGAAAGTAAAGTATGACACAAATATATAATACTCATCTTTAGGACCTAGTTATGCATTACATGTGTGAATTCTCAAGTAGTGCACTATGAACATACTAGTATGTAAATAAACTAGTGCATATAAATACCTTCCAATGAGTCAGCGAGTTTGTCCATGTTGCGGGTTATGAGTAGATGAAGATCACTGCCTGCCCAAACTGGGAACGCAAAAATTGCTACCAAGAAACAGATAAAAATTCCAATGGCAACTGTGGATAGCCTCTGCTCAGCCAACTCTATGAGCTTATCAACTCGATAACCCGATACCGCGACCAGACTAAAGGTGAGGATGAAAATGGTGATCCCGTAGTCGAACTTGATTTTTATTGTTGGGATGAATCGAGAGAAGGTAGCTGCTGATGCTGCAAAAATAAAAATTATATACAAATGTTAAGTTTGCTTGATCTACGTAATTAGTCAAAACTTTTGGAAAGAAGAGTTCCGAATTTTAATTGCATACCTAACATAAACACTGAGGCACTGCGGATTATAGGCTCAAAGGTTTCTCCTGATTTGTTAGCAATCCAGTGGACCCCAATAGCAAGGGCACCCGCTGTAAGTGTTGCTATGCCTCTGTTGATTCCTTTGTACAAGCATCCTCCTATATCCATTAAGGGAAAAATTGTCAATACATATTAATTCTTAACTAAAGTTAATGAGCCAATTTAAGCTTGACTCACAACTAATTTAATTTGTTAATTAACTCATGATGGGCTTACCTACGGTGAACTCAAACACGACAACAACAGTCATTACGGCCCACATAGCAGCACCTCCGACTCCGTCATACAAGGGCCTAGTGTAATAGAACAGGGACACAAGAGCTAGCGCAAGCCCTACTTTCAATCCATGCACTACTTTCCTGGGGTCATCGGCTCCCAATCTCCATACCATATTTCCGAGCCCTGACACTTTCGATCTCATCGTGTTTGCCAATTCGACCAGGCCAAGCCACCCTTTCCTAAGCGGGCTCGATTCAGGTTCGAGTCCCACCGAGGATCCCTCAGGGATGGTCACCCGCCATTCCAAGCCACCCGATACTGATCTCTCAGTAGCCATTTAGGATGGACGATAGGAGGTGACCCTATTGTATTTGATTGATAGTTAGGCCAAATTAATTGAGCTAAGTGTACAAAGTGTGGCTTTTGTCTTGTAATAATCAATGGGGAGTTGGAGGGGCTTTATATAAGGACGGGATTGATTATAATGTTGTTTTTATATGATGGGCATAAAAGAAATGTCAAAATTGTAGTGGCAATACCAAATTGATAGTGCGATCAACTGATGTGAAAAACGAAATGGGGTTTGTTGATTAATCGTGGAAATTAGGAGGCGTGCATGTGATAGAGAAATACGGATGGACAACAACAGGATCAGATAGATTTTTTTTTTTTTTTTGCCCCCTTCAGTGTTTGGACGCAGAAAGGTGGAAAGGCCGTATCAATTAGGTTTGGTCATCATGACATGAGACATTATCGCTTATCACTTAATATGACATCCACGTCTGTTGT